GAGCTGGCAGACAGCTCAGGTCCCCACTGGCTGCCGGCCAGTGGAAGTGGGCAGAGGCAGAGCTGGCAGCCAGCTCAGGTCCCCACTGCTGCCCAGGCCCCCGTGCTGTGTCTGAGACCCCCCTGAGACAGAGCTCTAACCCCACAGAGCTGCTTTCACCATGTGGAAGAGCATCATGTGCTCGCCCAGGACTGCAGAGCCGGCGCTGCTGATCCTCCTGCATGTGCTGGGCAGCTGGCCCAAGCACAGCACGTGCACCTCCGACGGGGACAAAACGGGTGTCTTTGTCCTGGCTGTGAGTTTCTCTAACTGGTCTTTGCTGGCCCCAAGGCCACCTCTCCAGCAGCTCTCCATCCTCCTTCCCCCACTGCATCTCCCTGCCGCAGGCGCTGGCCTGAAACCTGGCCCAGGGGCAGCTCCAGGCCCAGCAGGCCCCGTGCTCCCCCTGCCAAGGTCTCTCCGGGCCTCTCCCTGCCAAGCTCGGGCCCTGCCACACGGACACCTGGGCACTGAGCGCTCTCTCGGGAGCTTTGTCCTTTGCAGGCAACCGTGGTGATGTGGAAGATCCTCCAGGTGCCCTGTGTCCCACATATGGTGACGGTCTATTTCCCTCGCCTCTTTGTGCATCTGCTCTCCCAAGTGTTCTTCAGCACTCTGGATATGCCAGAGGAGGTCCATGCCTTCTGGAAGGGATGTCAGGAGCAATACGGCCTTGCCACCAGCCCCAACAGGTGCTCCATCCCACTCCTCCTGTCCCTGCCACGTCCCTGGCCAGGAGCCAGTGCTCCCAGCGTCACCTGGCCTTTGCTGTGCACGCAGGTTTGCAGTGCGGACCCTGAAGTGCCTGCTCTGCCGCATGCAGCACAAGGATGTGGTGGTGGCAATGGAAGGCAACTGTGGCTGGGACACGCTGCTGTGTGCTGACAGCCACCACTATGCCGTGGCTCTGCTGGCCAGGTGAGAGCCCCTTCTCCCCACAGCCTCTGACATTTGTGCTCCGGGCCCAGGGAGCTCCACACAGTCCCTGTGGTTGTGGCTCAGAGGGCCTTGTCACCGAGGGATGGCCAAGCAGACTGGAAAAGGCTGGCAGAGGAGGGTGCCCAGCAGGAGCTGCCTCCCAAATAGCCCAGGGCCCCTTGCAGGATGCTGGCAAAAGAGCAGAGCTCTGTGCGTCAGTCCTGGCAGAGCTTTGTCCCCCTGGCCCACAGGCTTGGCTCCTTTTTCTCCTGCCAGGGAGATGTGCTGTGTCTCCATCCCCTTGTGCTCCCGCATCGCTCGCTACCTGCTGCGGCTGCTCAGCACACAGGAGCCACGCTGGGAGCTGCCCGGCCTGGCCTTCCTTGTGGAGGTGAGCCTGATGGCCAGTGCTGCCTGGCTCAGCTGCCTCCCAGCTCTCTGCCCCCTGGGAGCCGCAGCTGCCTGGGACGGTGCCCGCGCCCTGTGCTGCTGCCCGGGCCCAGGCCTGTGCGGCTCCAGGCTCCTCCCAGCCGGCTCCCCTGTCACTGGCCTGTGCCTTTCAGGTCCTCGAGTTCCTGGACTTGAGTCAACGTGGTGCTAACAGAGTCCTGCAAATCTTGTCAAGGCAGCTGCAGAGCGAGTGCAGAGAGAGGCGTCGCCTGGCGCTCAGGGCCCTTCTCGAGCTCATTGAGGAGCCCTTCATGGTGAGAAAGGGGCAGCGGCTGAGGCTGAGCTGGGGAATGCAGTCGCTTGGGCTTGGCAGGGCTTTGGGTGCTGGGGCAGCTGCTCCCAGCTCTCCCGCCTCCCAGTTCAGCTGCCCGAGTGCTTGGGGACAGGCCTTTGGCCTCTGGGCCCTGCGGCAGCAGGATGGCATTTCACAAACTTGTGTTCCGCACAGACCAAAAAAATGTGGAGCCTGACTGAAAGTCTTGTGGAGCTCCTGTGGGACGCAGATGGAGAGATAGTTAGCATGACAGTCATGCTACTCAGCTTTATTATCTTGGACAATGACACACTGTTGCCTGGCCCCATCACACTGCAGCTGCTTGAGGCGCTCCTGCCACTCTTTGACCACGTAAGGCTCACTGCCCCCAGCCACGGCCACTGGCTGCTGCCCGCACACTGTGTCCTGTGCATTTGCAGGCCTGCGCCAAGCTGAGCCCCATGCAGCCACAATGCTGAGGTCTTTTTTTCTTCCTTCCATACAGAACAATAGCCAGGTGCAGCTGCTCTCCATACTGCTCTTCCGAACGTTGGTGACTCTTCCAGAAAGGGAAAATGAAAAAAAGGCCCTGAAGACACCCCTGCACCACAGCCTGCTGCCCCTCTTCTTCCACTGCCATGATGACAATCAGCTTGTGGCACAGGTGAGGACTCGTGGGCTGCTGCTGTCCCCCTGGCAGGGGGCTCGGCTGCCTCCTGGCCTGGCGCCTGCCGGGCTGCAGCCTCCTGCAGGCCTTGGCACAGGGACGCGAGTCCTGCACCGTGGGCTGTGGGGCCATCTCCGCGTCTCTGCTGCTCTCCAGGCTTCTGGGAAAACGCTGCTTTGTGTGGCCAAGCTCCTGAAGAGGAAGGATCTTGAAAGACTGGTGAAGAGCCAGCATCTGTGGAAGTTCAGCAAGTGCCTGGTAAGGAGGGCCTGGAAGCCCCAGCCTCAGCCCAGAGAAGCCCCCTGAGGGCGGTGCAGGCAGCTCCTGGCCCAGGGGCTGAGCCCGCGCCAAGCCTTCCCTCCTGCCGCTCTCTCCAGCTGGCAGAGGACAGCAGCAGAACGGCCGAGCACCTGCGCCGGGCCCTGCGCTACCTGCAGAGCCCACAGTCCCTGCGAGCAGCAGCCATCAGGTTCACGGGTGAGCCACGATCCCGGGCTCCCTCCCGGGCCCAGCCCGCCGCAGCTCGGCCCCAGCCCCGCCTGCTGTCCTGGCAGCGCCAGCCGGGCCCGGCGCCGTGGAGCCCCGGCTGGCCTGGGCATTGCTGCTGCCGTCCTCTGGCAGCCGTGCCCTGGGGCGGCAGCGTGCGCCAAGGGCCGGGTGAGCCCTGCCGGGCCAGCAGCCCGTGTGGCCACAGCGCCGGCAGCGCCGCTGGCAGGGAGCTGTGCCGCTGGCGCCGTGACAGGCTCTGTGTTCACAGGGATGGCCGCGCGGCACCTGAGGGGGAAGAAGGAAGAGCTCCGGCTCATCTGCAACGGTGAGTGAGGCCAGCGGGGGCTGCCGGGGGAGCTGCAAGCCCTGCCCCGGCTGCCGAGGGCTCTGCTTCCTGCGCGCACCAGGGCCGGCGTGGGCAGAGCACATGGAGATTTCAGGGCCACCCGGGGCATTTGTGGCCAGCAGCTTCGGGCTGGTCCCCTTGGTGCCTGCTCCCTCCTGGCCATGGCTAGAGCCGGCTGCCATGGCCCTGCCAGGGCGCTCTCCTCGGCTCCCCGCAGATGCGGCATCTGACCATGGCTCTGTCCCTCTCTCTTTCAGCCCTTCAACACCTGACAGAGGACACCAGCAGTGCCGTGTAATCGTGGCACTTGCAACATTGCATGTCCTCCAGGCACTGCAGAGTGAGCCATATTCCGTCTTCCAGAGGCTGCAAGATCAGCTCCGCAGGGCATGGAGGACTCAGCCTCGTCTCTCGGTGCTCGGCTGGCTGCGCTGCTGCAGCTCTGCAGAGAGCTGATGCCAGAGGCTCTGTCTGCTGGGACCACCTGAGCCAGGGGGAATTTTCCATTTCTTTCAGATTGTTCTGTTCTTCCTTTTGTTTTTTCTTTAGTAGATGAATGTAGAGTTTGTTATAATACACAGACTCCCAGGAGCTTTCTTTTGCTACCCAGGCTCTGCAGGGCTTAGGGGAAGAGGGGGACAAGGGTGCCTGGGCTGGGCCAGCTGCCCAGGCGTGCAGTGTTGCAGGGAAAATGGCCAGAAGCCCCTTGGCCTTTGGTGGTTCTGTGGAAGCCTTTGTGTTGGTGACAGAGAGGCTGGGCCGGGCCTGGAGCTGCGGGGATCCCTGTGAGAGCGGTGCCTGGAGATGGCCACAAGCCCTGGGCCAGGCAGGAAGCGCCCTCTGTGTCCTCCTGCCCGTGTGCTGCTGGCTGGATTGCTGAGGGCTCCTGGCTGCCTCTGGCTGGGGCTGCTCTGGAGCTGCTGTGGGGCTGCGGCGCTGCTGCCGGGCAGCTTGGCTGGGCTGGGGCAGGTCCTGAGGGGATGGGGCCATGAACGGATGAGGGGCCGGGAAGCCCTGACAGGACACGGCAGTGGGAAGGCACGAGGGGGATGTGTGAGGGAGTGCGTGGCTGTAACGTTGGCTGGAGGAGGAGTGGGTTGGAGACAGAGAGAGCACTCACCCCGATGTTCATGTGGCAAACAGAGAGCGTTTATTCTCAATCCCTTCCTTCTAAAGGGCCTTTGAAAAACCCAGTCTGGAGTCCCTGCGAGCGGCGGCCATCAGGTTCATGGGTGAGCCATGAGCCCGGGCTCGTGGCTCACCCCCAGTAAATTTCATTGCTCTGATCTCTATGCCTTGTTAGATTCTGGACAGTGAAATGCTGCAGCCCTGGGAGAGATGTGACTGGGCAAGGCCCCTGGCAGTCAAACCAGGGCTGGTACATTCACACAGCACGAGCCAGCCTGCACTGTGACACACGGCAACAGAGTGCAAGGCACAGCTCCGGGTGCTCCCCAGGAACCTCAGCTCTGGGAGCACTGTCTGCCCCAAGCTCCAGGGGCTGCCGTGGGAGCCTGGCTGGGCTCTGCCCTGGGGCCATCCTGCAGGGACAGCTGGACACAGGGAGCATTCCCTTGCCACAAACAGCCAAGCCAGGGCTGCAGGGCAGCTGCTGCAGCCCGGACTGCACTGTTGTGTGCTGTGCTCTGGGGCTGGGGCTCCCCACACAGGGCACTGGACTGGTGTGCCACAGGAGACACAGAAGCTTCAGCTTCAGCCCAGGCTGTGCTGGATGTGCTCAGAGCTGGATCCAAGCTTTCCCATCAATTCCCTGTTTTGGAGGAGAGCAGGAGAGCAGGACATGTGCCACCTCCTTATCAGCTGCCAGAGCGGGATACCCATGAGCCCGCTGCTGTCTCCCAGCACTGGGATTCCCCCCATGGCCAGAGATGAGGATCCACCTTGAGAGAGCCCTTGTGGCAGCGAGAGCTGATGGTCCCAGCTGATGTTCTGGCCCCTCCTGAAAGGGTGCTCCCCACAGACCATCTGCTGCAGCAGGATGCCCAGGGACCAGACGGTAGCTGGCCTGCCATAGTACCAGCCAAAGTGACTCCATTCCGGGGGGCTGTATGACCGTGTTCCTAAGGAATACAGATGGAGTTCATCAGGGGGATGCTGCTGCTCCCAGAGCCTGGCCCCAGCATCCCTGGGCGTGCGGGGGCTGCCCCAGTGGCACACGGGGTGACCCACTGCCCTCTCACCAGCACCTGGGACTTGTGTACAGACTTGGGGTTGGGAAAGAAGCCACTGGTGTTGGAAGAGGGCAGCGAAAGCCCTGGCAAGGCCCGACCATAATAAGGAAGAACCCACTCAGTGCTGGTGAAATACCATGACATCATTATCCCTGCCTGCATTGCCCCAAAAAACATTATCAACCCAACACAGACCAGGGGAGTGGAGCAGTCCAAGCCCTTTCTCACCTGAACACCAAACTGGCTGGGGCACAGGTTCCGCTTCCCCCTCTCTGCTACCTTTACCCACGGGTGTTTTTGTTGGGCTGGCTGCCCCAGCCCCAGTTCCGGGCAGAGTGGTGGGCAAAAGCTGCCAGCAGGGTTGGAAGCTGGTTCCCTACTCAGCCCTGCTCAAAAGCAACTCAGCTGAAGACTCAGTGCCATGAAGGGCTGCAAAAGAGAGAATCCCTGCTGCCACACCCAGTTAGGGCTGTGAAATGTTGGGCCATGAGATGCCAGGACCAGGAGCACACCCCTGCGTGGGCTCACCTGCAAAGTGAGTGTAGGCTGTCTCTTGCAGGCAGGTGCCACAGGCAAAGTCAATCAATTTGGCCTGCCCAGTGTGCAGGTCAAGCAGGATGTTCTCTGGTTTGATGTCCCTGTGCAGGACCCCGCAGCTGGTGCAGTGCCACACGGCCTCCAGCACCTGGTGGAACAGCTCCCGCACCACCTCCTTGGGCAGGAACCCCCGTGCCCCAATGAAACGCTGCTGGTCCTGACACCACTCCGGGCGCTCCAGCACCATCAAGATGTCGTTGGGGAGCTCAAGCCACTCCAGCAGCTGGACCACACCAGGGAAGCCAGTGGACACCTTGGCCAGCAGCACGATCTCCAGGGGTGCGCTGGTGCCGTCGGGCTGCGGGAGGAGCACGATGCCCTCAGTGGGGCTGATGCCGTGCCGGGGCTCGGGGAGCCCTCAGCCAGCCCGGGATGCTCTGCGCCCTGCGCTGGACCCATGCCCGCTCTCCCTTGGGGCGGTCCTGGCGGCTTCCACCCTGCCAGGGCTTGGCTCATCCCCGCCCGGCAGCCCCGGCTGCTGCCGCTGGCCCCGCTCACTCACCAGCTCGCCCCAGTGCCGGACGCGGTTCCGTGGCACCCTTTTGATGGCCACCTGCAAGCCAAGGGCAGCAGCGGGCTCAGCTCGCCGCCCGCCCTGCCCAGGCCCATCCTCCGCCCTCCTCCTCGTCCGCCCCCTCCTCCTGTGCCCGCCGCCGGCCCCGCCGCTCACCGGGGCCCCGTCCGAGAGCCGCGTGGCCGCGAAGATGCTGCCAAAGCCGCCGCGCCCCAGCAGCGAGCCCAGCCTGTCCTGCTCCTTCAGGCCCTGCTGCGCCTTCCCTGCGGACGGGACGCGGCTGTCAGCGCTCGGCCTGGGGCCAGCAAGGGCCCCCCAGCGCCCCTCAAGCGCCCCAGGCCGGCCATGCCCAGGCGTTCGCTCCCAGGAACGGGACAGCGGCGGCTCAGGGCCGGTGGCCGCGCTGCCGAGCGGCGGAGCTCGGGCCGGGCAAGCCGCAGCGGAGGCAGCCGCAGCGGCCGCGCCGCCTGTGTCCTCCACGGGCCCCGGGAGGAGCCGGGGCTGGGGCTGGGGCTGGGCTCGGGCCAGGTGGAGCCAAAGGGAGGCGATGCCACCCCAGCCCCAGGCACTGATGCCCGCCCAGCAGCGCCAGCGCCAGCACAGCCAGAGCCGGCCGGAGGCGAGACCGCGGCGGGACGCCCGGGGCCGGGCACGGGGCAGCCCCGCCCGGGGCCGGGGGCGGGCCGGGGGCATGGCCCAGCTGGGCATGGGGAAAGAGAGAGACTGGGAGAGGATGGGACACCGGGAAAGGGAGAGCGGGACAGGGTGCTGGACTGTGGGGGAGGCAAAACGAGAGGAAGTCGACAAAGTCGCTTCTTTTGCTGCTTTCGCTGCCGCTGCCGCCGCTACATTCGCTGCTGCCACTGCAACTGAAGCCGTGTTCAGCCAAGACCCAAAGTCTGGACTCCTGCACAGGAATCCCCTCGGTCACTGCTGTGCATTGTCCCTGCTGAGGGTCAAACACTATTGGAAAGCGTTCCCTGAATGTGGAATTTGTACCTGACCCAAGCACTGCACTTACCTCTCCAGCACTGCTTTCCACTTTCCAAAAAAAATAAAAACAAACGGGAAGGCAAACTGGATGCAGCTCATGGTATTTGACAGTGTCTTAAACATGCCAAGTCATGGATCTTAGAGGTGAGATCCATTTGGAATTAATGGGATAGAGACTTAGTGCAACATGGAAATGGAGAGCATAAAAATAAATACAGTAAAACATCTTGGTTTGTTTCTTTCTGTTTTCATTTCATTTCTTAAAAGCTCTTTCAGTTCTTCCAGAATCTTGTCCACAGTCCTGTTTGCTCTTTCCAAGAACCTTTCCTGGAGAACCAGGTGCAGCTTCTGTCACAAGACGTGCCACCAGCAACAGCTTCTCTTGGCTTTCCACACCATGCGTGCAGCACGACTCTTGCAGCAAAGCAGGACAAATGTTTGAAGAACTTTACAGCTTGTTCTTTCCTTTCCTTGTGGGTTGGGCACTTGTGCCATTGGTGAGGTTTTCATTGTTACTGTTCTACCCTAAGAAAACATGATGGGCTCCCAGGAATTGTTAGGGAATGCAAGCCTGACTGAATGCAGAGAAATAATCTCCTGAGCCTGCAGCCTGAAAGGGAGAGCTGTGTGATAATCATTCCAACACCCCCATGGACATCTTGAAAGTGATGTAGAAGATGAAAATGGGCTGACAGAGGGAGTTTGTTTCAGTGTTCAGTTCAGATGCTTCTACATCTCATGCATTGATACAAATCAAGAGTACAATCAGTTCATGAAAGGCACCAGAACAAGCTGGACCTCTGAGGAGATGACTGAAAGAATCTGAAAAGAAGAAATGCAGGGAATGACTTGGTGAACTTTGGCTGTACAAAGGATCATTTTTCCTAAATACTTTCCAATCCATTCCCTCCGCTTTTGTCCTTCCTAACAAGGCCATTTTCATCCCAGATTCCCCATGAAATGAGAGACCTGAGCTTATGGAAGAGTCAGAAAGATGCCCTGTTCCTGTGCAGGGACACTGAGGCTGGAGCAGGAGCCTGAGCCCTCTCTGGGGCAGCCTCCTCCCAGCTGGAATTTGTGCCGTGCTGGGAGAGGAGGAGGAGGGGGAGAGCGCTGGCGCTGTGTGGCAGGAGCAGGAGGTTTGGGCCGCAGGACATTCCGTCTGCGCCGCTGCCCCGCAATGGGCGGCCGTGCCCGGGGCTCTGGGCCTGGCCCCGCGTGCGCTGAGCTCCCGACACTGCGGGAGCTCCCCGGGCTGGGCTCAGCTTCCCGCTGGGCCTGGGCAGCAGGCTGGGCTCCAGCTGGGACCAGCAGCAGCTGGAAATACCTCTGGGCATCTCCATTCACTGCTGCTGCTCGGAAGAAACAATGGAGGCAGTCAAGAAGTTCTGGTTTCTCTTTCTCCTGGTGGATTTTTTCATTTGATTTGACACTTGAGAGGCAATTTCTGTGATGGCCTTTGTCAGTTGATTCTATTTCAGCAGCAGCAGCAGCAGCAGCAGGGCTGTGTTTGAGCACTGCAAATGTGGCCTGTGCGGCTGCTTAATTCTCCTTGACTTTGTGCTCAGGAACTTGAAAGCATTTCAAGATCTGCTAATCATGATGCCTGTGACCAAAAGCCTGAGTTCACCAATTCCCAGCCAGGGGCTATGTACAAATCACCAACAGGATGGGACTGCTGAGCAACGTGTCTCGAGCTGTTCATTTTCCAGCATCAGTCTCATTACATGGTTATGAAAATGGGAAGGTGCCAGCAGCTCGTGTCGTCGGCAGCAGACAAAGAACTCAATGTTACAACTTACTTTAAAAGTTTTTTTACCAATCCCACAAAGCAAAAGCATATTGACAGTAGTTCTATCCAACCACGATAAGCACAGGTACCTTTGGTTAAAATAATGCTTGCTTATTTTGAATACAATACCTGCTTGTAAGCCTTAAAACACAATGCACAGAGCTCATGCTTAGAACTTCCTAATATCTCGTTAGATATACTTTTGTGTAGCTTAGGGAATTATTCTACCAAGCGTTAATACAAAAACCATTTTTCTATTTGTCCTTACTTTCTACTTCTAATATAACTTTTCTGCTGACAAATCTTATGGCTACTACTTAGCACTAATCGCAGTTCTGCTGTCTCTGAGGCCTGCCTTTTGCAGCTTTCTCAAACCCCTCTGATTTTAAGGATTCCTAAATTCACTGTCATGAAAGCACTCTGGGTAGCGCTGATCAAAAAGGGCAATTGCAGATTTACAGATAAATTTCAAGTGGCAAGCAGAAGAGGGACAAGAGCAGCCAGGTTCTCCAATTCCCAAAGGCAAAGGCAGTAGCAGCATCCTGCTGTCACCTCAGGGTGAGTAAAACAGTGCTGAAAACAGCGCTGGAACCCGATCCTTTCTTCCTCTGAGGGCTGGCTCAGGGCAGCACAGGCAGGCCCTGAGGAGTCAGGGCTGTGTGTGGGTGATTGCTGCTCTAGTCCAGAATTGAGCTGGAAAAAGCCCTTGGGAGCCGAGGCAGGAGCAGGTGGGAAGGGGCTGGCGCTGCTGCTGCTCCTGGCCGGGAGCCCCGGCTGGGCCGGGCCGGCGCCCCCTGCGCTGCGGCTGCTGCTGCTGCCAGAGCCGGGCGGGACTCGGGGACAGGGAACGGACACGGGGGGACAGCAAAGGCCTGGCGGCTGCAGGGATGGTGGCGCTCGGGCCAGCGCCAGCACAGAGCTTCAGCCCACAGTTAACCCCGAGGGAAACGCTGGGGAAAGGCTCCATTTCAGCCTTTCTGCACTCGTGGCTGTGAAGGGACCGAAATAAAAGGAGAACAAGCAGGGCCCGACCCCTTCTCCTTCGGGAGGAGCCGCAGGCCTGGGGCTGTGAGGGGCCATGAGGGTTATAATTTGTGGTGAGGAGCCAATCACCGACAAGTGAGTCCAAATGAAATGTAATTTATTAATTGACAGAGCAAACAATAATAGGCAAATTACTGGGCTGGGTCCAGCCGGGGAGTCTCCGCTCCACCAACGGCTCACACCCACCCGGCTGTTCAGGCCTCTCTTTTATCTATCGTGGTTGTGTATTTTCTGGTGTTTTCTGCGTCTGCGCCGATAGTTGCTAGGGGGTCTTTTTCTGCCTTTTGGTGGTCATTTGGAGGAAGGCTCCTGTCCTGTCTCTCAGAGTTTTGATGACCCTGCAATAGCCTTTACCATATATAGGTGTGTGGCTGCATATAGTTACATATTGCATATTCAGCTTTTCAACATATTAGCTTGTGACATATTGCGGTTTAAGCCTTATGACATTTTGCAACATATTAGCCCGTTATATTTATCTTGTGGTTTTTCATCGGCTTTTCCTTTTGATGAACAAACTTGAGAAATTATCCTATTACAGGGAGGAGCCCTGGGCCTGGGGCTGTGAGGGGCCGTGAGGGGCCGTGAGGGGCCATGAAGGGCCGTTGGGGACCTTGAGGTAGAGAAGGGTCTCTGAGAGGCTGTGGGAGGCCAGGCACCTCATGGAACCCAGGGTCACTTATGACACTGTGGAACCAAGGAGACTTGTTGGCAGTATGGAAACTTACGGAGTTTCCATACTGCAAACAAAAGTCCATTGTGACATTCTGGGGCCTCATGGAACCATGGAGACCATTAGGACACTTCAGGACCCACTGGAACCAAGGGGCCATTGTGACACTGCAAGGCCTCGTTTAACCAAGGGCTCATTGTAGCACGGCAGGGCCTCATGGAATCAAGGGGATCATAGTGGGGCTCCATGAGACCATGGGGACATTCTTACTCTTTGGAACCAAGGAGACCATTGTGACACTACAGGGCTGCATGGAACTGTGAACTGATGTGACAGTGAGGGGCCCAATGGAATCAAGAGGCCATTCCGTACTTCAGGGCTTCATGGACCCAAGGAGCCCTTGTGGCACTGCAGGGCCTCATGGAATCCTGGAGACCATTCTGGCACTTTGAGGCCTTGTTGAATCAAGGGGCTCTGCAGGGCCTTGTGGAACCAAGGAGCTCTTTGTGACACTGCAGGGACTTGTGAAAGCAAAGAGAAAAATCTGGCACCCTGAGTCTCCATGGCACCAAGGGGCCACTGTGCCACAGCCATGCCCTGAGGAACCAAGGCTCCATTGCGATCCTGGGGAGCCCAATAGAACCAAGGGACCATTGTGCCATTGCGCTGTTCCACGGAACCAAGGAAACCATTTTGACACTGCAAGGCCTCATGGAATCAAGGGGACATTGTGCCAATGGGGACCCAAAAGACCACTGTGATATCACTGGACTTATGGAAACAAAGATCTGTTTTGATACTATGGGGCCTCATGGAACCTAGGGGCAATTGTGATGCTGCAGGGCCCCAAAGATCCAAGAACATGGAAAAGTTCTGGTTGGCTTGGCCTGACTGGTCCCGCTGACCTTGGCATGTTGAGGGTTGCTTCTCATCTGCCCCTAAAACCCTGGACTTCTGTGCTTTCCTTCCTGTGGGAAAGAACTCTCCTCCTCCAGGGGTTCATGGCTGAAATTGGGATTCTACATCCAAATTCAATTATATCGAAGGATGATTCCTGTATGAAACCTGCCAGAACAGACAGCTCTGGGTGGCCTTGGCATCTTGGAGGCCACCTCTCATCTGCCTTCAAAACACAGGGGGGCCAAGCTTTTCTTTCCATGGAAAAATCATCTTTCAGGTGTCCATAGCCAAAATCTGGAATCTGCC